TGGTGGGGTTTCATGGGGGTAGAGCTCAGTGCACAGCACTAAGCAAGCATGTGGCTCTATCCCTAGTGCTGAAAAAAGGAGCTATTTTCCTTTTTTTCTGGGACCTTAGTCAAAAATGTTTGCACTGCAGTGTGAAATGCAATTTCTGTGTATAAATAAATACAGTAATTGAAATATGTAAAGCGATCCAACTCGAAGTTTTGAATGAAATGGTGGAAACATTCTCAGAAGGTTTTCAGAGTCACAGCAAGAGGCAGATGTTCTTTTCTGCACTGTAACAAGTTGCAGCTATCACTGGCCCAGCAATTTTTGGAAAATAACTTTTTTTTTGGTCTTTTTGAGACAGGGTCTCCCTGTAGCCCCAGCTTTCCTGGAACTCACTATGTAGACCAGTCCGGGCTTGAACTCACAGAGATCCGCCTGCCTCTGCCTCCCAAGTGCTGGGATTAAAGGTGTACACCACAGTGACCAATCTGAAGACTGTGCAAAGCTAAAGGAAGGGCCCAAATAACATTTAAAAATGCAGAGTTTAATTACCTGTCCATTCTTGTACAGAATATAAACTGCCAGTCTGACTGATTCTGTGTTCTACTTGTCTGTTGCCCAATGGATTTGGGAGCTAGTCTGCCTGCAGCTGCCATCAATGTGGCTATTGTGAGATAGCAAGTTCTCAGTTTTAAGGTCTGTGCAGTGCATCTCAGTCACCAGAAGACTGACTGAAATTCACTTGTAATTGTGTGTTTTACACTTAGATATCAGCTGCCTGTACAATTACTCATTTCCTCTTAGCACATTTCCCACAAGGGAATGCACATGACATGTAAGTTAATCATTTGTACTTCTATCTTTGCCTGTGCCATTTTCAAAGTCTCTGGAAGAACATGATCTTTTCTTTTCAAAACCTTTCTAAAGATTTACAAATGCCAAGTTTTGAAGCTCTTTGATAAGTAAGAGAGAGAGAGAGAGAGAGAGAGAGAGAGAGAACTTTCTGTGTGTCTTTGGTTCATTCCATTGTATCTTGAGGATAACTGATGTCATATTTCATAAGAGATTACTTTCAAAATGATGAGTGACAGGGAATCTCTCTTGGTATCAGTGCCCTAGCTACCTCTGGATCTCTTGGATATGGAGACAGAAAGGAATAAGTGAATTTTACAGCACGAGATCCTCTCATTGAATTGGAAGGCTGTGTGGAATAGCTTTAAGTAAAGAGGAAGCATTTGTCCACCTCTAATCCTTTTTCTGGACACATCTCTTTAGGATGAAGTTCCCAAAAGATAATCATATAACTGATGAAAATTTAATCCACTCAATTCTAAAATAGTATTTTAGGGTATATTATTCACAAATATGCCTTTAAAATCTAAATATATATTTTCAAGTTCTAATTTCAAAGTTGCCTCTGTGGTTTTATTTGCAGGGTTTTATGAAGAAGTCAAACAGATCCTTTGAGGTAGAGTTGAGCACCTCTGCCTTAGAGGACAGGCGGCTTCCCTCCAAACCCTGGCTTAGCCACTTACATGCCATAGACTGCCAGACTGGAAAACCTCCTGCATCTTATGTCATGACCTACTATTTAGATCTTTCTCTTTCTTCCTCACTCCTCCCCTCTTTTCCTCCCTCTTTCCTTTCTTCCTTCTTTCCTATTACTCAGTACACACACACGCACACACACACACACTCACACACACACACACACACACACACACTAGCAACAGAAAAATGGGAGAGACAAATAAAATGGTCTAACTCAACATTCATCTCAGCAGGTAAATGTGATGTCATAGTCATGTCTTCTGTCTGAAGCATATGTGCCTTTTACATCTTGGGTCATTCACACCTAAAGTAGTCCTTAAAATATAAGGTCTTAACTTAATGATAATCACTCCAGTTTAAAAAATATTGGAAAAATATTAATCCATGAGAAAATGACTGAAAATTATTTTCTTCCAATACTCAGAGACATACCTCTCTTATTTGCTACTTAGAGGATAAAGAAGAGAGAGAAAGAGAGAGAGAGAGAGAGAGAGAGAGAGAGAGAGAGAGAGAGAGAGAAATACGATCATTTTGCTGTGGAATTCTGGAAAGCTAAGTGGAAAGATTACTAAATTCTGCTGTCCTTGTAAAAGGAAAACGATCAGCAGTCGTGAGGCACACACCAGCTTCCCTTCCCAATGGGTGCTGATAGTGGAGCACACACCCTTCCTGTTGTTCCAGGTGCTAAAGAGATTGAAGCTGAAAATATCTAAACACTTGGAAATCCTAAAGACATCCTCTGAACACTCTATAAAAAAAGACTGGTCTTTATTTCTGCTAAGGTATAGCAGACTCTTCCCTTTGATTTTACTTTATTGTAAGAGGAAGTTTATTGCATTAGCTGCTAGCCCCCCGATACCTCAACTTCTTTCGGTCTCTTTCTTAATATGTGTGACTATTTTTCACTTCTGGTCCTTAGTGGTTGTCAGTGGTCTTGCTATTTCTGTCACTTTTACCTGGGTGTGAGTCACCTCAGTAATGGCTCCCAGAAATGTCCTCTGCCTATTTTCCTCAGAAGCTATGAAAGCCACGGACTGAGCCATGAGCAGGGAATTGGATGTTGCTGAAAGTTGCCAAAGGAGTGGTGGGACATTATTTCTCTATTGATTGCAAACTAGTAACTGACATTTATATTTTGACCATGGTAATAGAAGGACTGAGATGCCTCAGTTTGCCTTCACCTGTGAACTGGAGTCAGTTTTACTCCTGCCCCTGTCTACATTCCTCATAGATATGGTACTGGCTTCTTTCTTTACTTTGCTTCTATTTGTCCTCAAGCAATTCTACTGAGGTGCTATTGTATATACATACATTAATGTGTTCAAATGAAGTTTGCAGCAGCAGTGTTCGTCATTAGAAGCTTAGCTGTGAAGGCAGAGGTATACTGTAGCCTCATAACAAAAAAGGAATTTAGAAGTTACAAAACCTTTTTAACTTCCTTATTCAGAGTTGAAGAATGGAACCTCTCTTACATCAGAAATACTGAAGTTGTGGGCAAATTACAACTGATTAAGTCATATAGATTATTTCTTGACCATTTAGGCTTCCTTGATTTCATGTAACAGTGTGAGAAGGGTGAGCTTGTGAAAGACTATTCTAGATGCTGAGGCAATGAAAATCCATAACTGACATACAAGAGTTTCAATCATGTTGAATTTACATGTTTTTAAGATGAGAAAACTATTTGAAACTAGGCCTTAAAGTCAGATGGACAGCAGGGCTAGTCAGGCATGTATGCAGGCATCACGTAAAATAGATGCTTGAGGCCCAGATTATCATGCAGAGAGATCAGGTGGCAGGAGAAGAGATTATGAGCTACAACACACTGGGCAAAGAGCACAATGAATAATAAATTGGTGAAGATGTCTGAAAATCAGGGTCAGAGGTACAAGGAGAAACTGGAGAATCCCAGCTCTGGTCCAAGGGACGTTCCCCAGCACTGGCTTCATACCAGTTCAAGGTTAGTAACTCCAGATCTTACTATTGGACCTACTTGACCTTTTCAGGCCACGTTCATTGACACCTCTTCTCTAAGCTTAGAGAGAGAAGGGTGGGTGTTTCCACTCAAATATCAATGATCATCACTATATATTTTAATTCAAAAGACACTTTTCAATAAGCATAGAGACGTAGGTCTCATAGGACTATTCAGAGTGACACCAACTGTTTTCATTTTTAAAATTAGTAAAGAAAGTGGTTCTTATTTGAGGTGTACAATATTAATATTTGATATACATATAGGTCTTTCTTAGAAATTTTCAGGTTGGGACTGGAGAAATAGCTCAGTGGTTAAGAACACTGGCTGTTCTTACAGAGGACCTGGGTTCAATTCCCAGCACCCACATGGTGGCTAACAACTGTCCTTAACTCTAGTTCCAGGGGATCCGACACCCTCTTCTGACATCCATGGGCATTGCATGACATGGGTGCACTTAACACACATGCAAGCAATACATTCATACACATAAAATAAAAATAATAAATAAAAAATTTTTTAAATAATTTTTCAAGCATACAATACAATACCGACTATAGTCATTAATCTATATGTTTATATCAACAACTCATTTGCCATACATATTTGAAACTTCACACTCTCTGATTAATCTCTTCCCATTCTTCCCACCATTCAGGAAGAACCACTGTACTCTGTGATTCTATGAATCTGACATTTTAGATTCCACATACAAGCTATCTTTTTTATTAGCCATTGCTGAAGAGTTCTTGAGTCTGTATCATATCTCTGGAGTACAACTAAAATCAGAATTTGATTTGGTGTTCTGGTTGTAAAGCAACTTATGGCTCTAGAGGGGATGTTCCACCTTTTGATCCTAGGACATGGCATTGTTTGTCTACAATGTTTGGTCACCATCCATAAACATTCTGGGACTCATGTGGCCCACAGTCAGGTTGGAGATGCATGCTAGAGCCTCAGTCATCCAACAGTAACTTTTCTGAAGTTGGCTTTTATAGTATCAATAGAATAGATAAGAGAGTTGCCATTGACAATGGCACCCAGTCATTTATTCACTAGTAATTCTAAACAAATAAATCACCTGTGAAGCAGGGGAGCAATAATGGTAGGATCTTAAGGAACAGACATCTAAGGTTAGGACTGTACATTTTAAAAATAGATAAATGTTAGAACATATTTGAGAAGAAAATGGTTCTTAGAATAAGAAATAGGGGCATTAAAATGTATATTCAGCACCTCGTTAGATAGAAGGAGGATCTGGAAACTTTCCTTGGTTTTGTTGTATTTCTTAGTACATCTCTTTAGGACCAAAAGTACTCTGAAAATAACATCTTAAGCATTGGTAATGGCAAGCATCAAGCTGGTTCTTGTGTGTTCAGGAGTTAGTGCTTGTTCACGTGCCTGTGTAGTATGAGATGACATGAGGGAGGAAAGAGATTCATGGAGTCAGTGGACAATAATTTCAAAAGATTAGTGGTAAGACAAAATGGATGATTATTTACTTTATTTAGAAATTATGATGTCATTGGTGACCTTAACAAGAGTGGACTGTAAAATGCTAAGGGCAAAACTTGGTTACAGGAAGGTGAAGAGGAGACAGAGACTTCCTTTTCCAACAGCATTGGCAGAGTAAATATCCTGAAAAATCTGCCCTGCTACACAGCACCTAAAAGTAGTAGATACAGATTGAAAAACATGTTTTAGTTCATGCCTGAGATGGAAAAGGGAAGAAAAGTTATAGAGCCATCAGAGGCCCAGGATTCTGGGAGGAGTCCCTTTGCAAGCAGTAAAACCCCTGCTGGTTCCCGCAATTTGGAGCTTCAGTTTGGGCTTAGAAAAAGTCAGTTCTCTGCTACTCCAAGAGTTAAGATTCAGGTCCTGGGACTTGCAAAGAATTATGTCTTCAGCGAAGAGATGAACTAGAAAAAAAGTATATAATCTGTCTTGAATCAAGAAGCAAACTAACTTCCAAAGTGTTTCCCCTCACCACAGAATTCATCAAGCAGAGCCAGTTGTCGAACAGCCATTACACAGTCTAGGTGAGTTCACCTTGACTATACTGAAGCATCTGTTTTGGGTATGCCTATCAAGACTGACAGATGAGAACAATCCACTCCCAGGGTGTGGGCCAGTACCATCTAATGCACGAGAGCCCAGGTAGAGCGAGAAGGTGGAGAGAGGCCAAGCAGCTTGCTTTCTTCCGGAGCTGGGGCACACTCTTCTGCCCTTGGATTCCTCAGCATTTGGGCTCTTGATGTGCACCTGAGGCGTCCTGGCATTGTCAGGTCTACAGTCTAGGACAGAGCTGTGCCAACAGCTTCCCTGGTTTTCCTTTCCTTTGATGTGTCAGCTTTCATAATGGCATGGGCCATTTCCAGTAACAAAGCCTTCTCATCTCACAGCCTGCATCGTCAGAAAAGGAGACCAACAATCCTGGACTTGATACTTCCTTAAGTACCTATGAGAAACAAAAAAATAAAACAAAAACAAACAAAAAGGAATAATAATTTCCCTTGAAACAGCTGTTCACTCAAACCTGGAATAATTTTCATGTGTATATTCCCACTGTGATTCTCGAAGTTAAAAGTACAAAATAATAATGGAAAGAGCAAATCACATTAAATTTGAAGGGAAACGATAAAGACAGTAAGACCTAGGCACTAAAACTATCACATTCACAAATTCGTATTTAAACATAAGGTTTAAATAACTATCTTTAAAAAAATAAAATGTGAATAAAAAAGTGATTATGAAGATGACTGAATAGTATTGGTGAAAAATAGGAAGTTAATTATGCATCTAGATGTGAAATGCACACTAATTAAAATTAACAATCCAGTAAGTGTGTTCCTTAGCCTGTTAGATGTTACTAAGTGAGACAGAGGACATTGGAAAATAGATATGGATTAACTGCCTCCCCCCACAAAGAGCCCAGAAAAACAGATAAAGAATGCCTAGAACATGCAAAATATATCAAATCCGAATTCTCCAAAGAAGTACAAAAGAAATGGCAAAGAGATCATTTTGGATGGAAAAATGTCTGAGAACCCAGAAGTCCAGAAGGTATGAATTTCAGATTTAGGAAATAAAACAAATCTATCTTCATCTCCAACATATAGAACAAACTTAAGAACATTTTTTAAAAAAATGGTCAGACAGGAAAAAAAAAAATTAGATTACCTCTAAAGAAACAGAATAAAAGCCGAATTACAAACAAAAATGTTTGAAGCCAAAAAACAGATACCAAACTGATGAAAGTTTGTAGCTGTAAAACTAGGATTGTAAAATAGCTTAATGTTGCCCTTAGTATTTAAAAATAAACCAAGAAATTTTATAAAGGCTCTGGGGATGTAGGTTAATTAGCATTCTTGCCTAGCATGTATTACTTGGGTTTGCTTCCCAGCACTGCATAAACTAGGTGTGGTGGCACACAACTGTAATCCCAGCCCTTGGGAGGTGGGGCAGGATTACTGGGAGTTTAAGGCCATATTTAAGCTACATAACAAGTTCAAAGGCAGCCTGGGCTGCATGGAATGTTGTCTTAAGTAAAACTAAAAGTTTACACGAAGTATAACCTCCCTATTGGAACTCATAAGATTGATACTTCAGAAATAAGGAAAAGGACTTTAGGAAAACTGAGGTCAAGAGTGAATAAATGAAGTTGTAGGTGTGAGGGAATGTAAACAAATATTCTGTGAAACAATGTTAATAAATTCTATTTTGACAGTATATTCATTCTCATTACTATGTAACAAATTACCACAACTTTAGTGCCTTAAAAATACTTATGTACTAGCTCCAAGTTTCCTTGGGCTCGTGGATCTGGGTACAGCTAACTGGGTCTATTGATCTGGATTTCAAGAGGCTGAGCTCAAGGTTTTAAAAGGCACCAAGGAAGAGTAAACTCCCAGGATCAGTAGGGCTGAGTTAATTTCCCTGAAGCTTTACAGATGAACATCCAGGCTTCAGATGCAGGCTATCTTTAGTCTGCAGAGGCCATGCCATTCTGCAGATGTTCTTGTCACCTGACAGCATCTTCTGAGGCCAGCAAGGAAAACCTCCCTCCAATCTATTTAATGTCATTAGAATGGCCTCCTATCATCCTTGCCTAGGGCATCCTAGGGCAGCCTAGTCAAGGGAGTGGCAGTCTATTACTTTTGCCGGTTTCCACTGGTTAGAAGCAGACATAGGTTCTGTCCACCTAGGTGGAAAGAATAGTTCAAGGATGAGACTCACAAGTTGCCATAGAGTGTGTTCACCACAGAGAAGATGGCAAAACAATATTGGGGGTAATCAGATCAGCCATGCTCAGAGTTAAAGCACACTAGTTTTGTAGGCGGTACACGTAGGTAGAGATGGGTTATAAATTGTATCCAGCGCAGATCAAACTGTAAAAGATGGAAGAAATGAATCAAAATACACAAGGAACCCACAATATAAAGACACAAAACATTTTTAAATTAAAAAATCAGAACAAATTTAGTGTGGCTATATTATCATATAACCATTATGATAAAAATACAATTGAAGGATTATACAAAATGAATTCTAAAATTCTATGTCATTGAGCTGGACAGTTCAAAATCATGTAAAGCAAAATAAAGTGTCAAAAGGATTCATCAATTATAATCAGTAAAACAGAAAAAAATTAGGTAAAATGTAAAGGATGTAAGAACTCACACAGCATATTTGAACTAATTGTAGTAATAATGAACATGAAACCCTTAGCAACAGCATTATTTTCAACATGACACTTGCTGACATATAGATCTAGACAAGCCATGTAGAAACTACTAAAACTAGTTTTAACAAACATGAAAGACCTAATGGAAATTATATTCTCTAATCACAAAAAAATTAAATTTAAAATCAGTAAGAAAAAGATCATGAAGTCCATTTATTAAGAAATTTGAGAACACACTTGGTTTTTAAAATATTTTTTACATTGATTCTTTTAGTGTGTATGTGTGTGTGTGTATGCACATGTTATGTACATGCCAAGGTATGTGTGTGGTGGTTCAGAGACAACTAGGGGGTTCAGTTATCACCTTCCTCCATGTAGGTTCCAAGGATTGAATGTGGGGAGAAACAACATCCCCAAAAGGAAAGACATACCTGCTGCCTTTATCATTAAACAGAATTTACAAATTACTTTTATTAAACAATTTTTAAATGGGGAAATGAGCACAAACTTAAAGAATACAAGAGGGAACACAAGTAGTACATTAAAACATGAAACAATTTTCAAACTCATTACTAATCAAGAAAACAAGAATTAAAACAATAAAGCATAACTTTAGTATTTTCTTGTGCAATATTTTTATAGGAAAAGTATACAGTGATGTTGAAGATGTGAAACAATGAATACTTATATTTTGATGGTGGTGATATAGACTGGAGCAATCACTTTGGAAACCAATTTGACATGACATAGTAAATATAGAGTTGTTTCCCTCCACTCTAGTGTTGAGAAATTCACAGAGGACATAAGGACATGTATACAAAAATGTTTACAGATGCATTTAATGGCTAAAATCAAGTATTCCTAACTTACATGAATTGAAATTTCATGTGACTCCATGCAATAATAACAACTGGAAAGAACAGCTGATTTATGATCTATTTCATGGTATTACGAATGAATGCTGCTCTGTTTATCAACATAGAAAAATCTCACACAGCTGATGTGGAGCAAAGCCAATATAAGCCATAGAATGCTAACAGCATGACAAAGTTTACATAAACATGTTTTGTAAAGTAAGGCACATATTGTTTATGCATATATATATATATTTTAATGAAAAACAAAAGCTGAAAAGATGGCTTTGTATTTTAAGGGCACTTGGAGCTCTTCCAGAAGCTGGAGTTCAGTTCCCAGCTCCCATGTCAGGCAGCTGACATCCATCAGTAACTCCAACTCAGGGGATCTGATGCCCTCTTCTGGCCTCTGAGGGCACCTGCACTCATGGCACACACACACACACACACACACACACACACACAAATAGAAGAAAAAATAAAAACAAGTTGAAATTCATAATTATCTTTATCTGGAGTGGGGACTGTATTGGGAAGAGGAACACAAAGTTATATTAAAATCATTGCCAATATTTTGTTTTTAAGCTGATCAGTGGAAACATTTTCATTGTTATATAAGCTTATGTGCATTTTCATTTACCTGTATGAAATATTTTATAATCAATAATTGATAAAAGCATGGAAGGTAGAGGCTAATAGTGAATGATGTTTTCTTGACAGCTGGTTGGGGTTAAAAGATTAGGAGAGAAAAAGCTAGAAAAGAAAACAGAATTAGGAAAGGGTCTTTGTTTTTTAAAAAGTTGAGAGAAACTTAACTGTATTAATATACTGAAATACAGAGCTTGACAGAATGGTTGATGAATCAGGTGGCTAAGGATACAGGCATATGATGGTTAATTTTTGAGTCTGAGCAAGTTAAGGAAATAAAGTCACTGGCTCCATCCTCACCCCATTGGGGGGCAGGGGCTCATCCGATTAACTGATGGTCTGAATGGATGAAAAGGCAGAGGAAGGGGGAGGAAGAGGAAATTTGCTCTCTCTGAAGACAGGCATCTGTCTTCTCTCTAGCATTTGCAGGCTCCTGGTCTTGGACTTTCAGACCCCAGGATTGACAAGAGTGCTTGCCCAGCCTCCTCAGTTCTCAGACCTTCAACTTGGTAGTTAAACCATTGGTTTCTCTGGTTCTCAGCTCTTTGAACTTGGACTAATTACATCAACAGCTTTTCAGGCTTGCAGGTGGCGGCTACTGAGACTTTACCCTCCTTCATCTTGTGAATCAGTTTCCATGCTGTATCCTCTCTATTTTGTCCATCTATCCATTGGCTCTGTTTTTCTAAGGGAGCCCTGACTAGCACATGGAATGAATGAGAACTAAAATGAAGGGAGAGTATCATTAGAGGCGAGTGTCACATTTTGCATTAAAAAGGGATGGAGCAGAATATGATCCATGCAGTATTGGCTGGAGAAGTTAAAGAATCCAAACTTCTACTGGTTTGAGGCTCACTGTTTTCTTGTTAATTAGTTCCATCATCTGCTGAAGCTGATAGTTAAAACAGCAAGAAAAGACACCTGAGGGAAATTTCAGAGGTATAAAGCAATCATGGTGAGTCTGGGAAAATAGAATGACAGCAACATGGAAGGGACTGAATGGAGCCAGACCATAGATATGCCATCACATCTATTTGTTCCTTATTTGTAGGTACACAAAGCTCTTCAGAAATGAGAGCAAAGAATGATTTGGAATAAGATAAAATTCACAGGCTCCTCAATAGGGCCTATGACAGGCACACCTGGGCTCAAAGTGTATGCGTTAACAAGCCTTACAGTTTAGGCATACACAGATTAAGAAGATAAGGAAGGATAGGGAAATAATAAACAGCAAAAATGTTGAGGCCCTAGATATGGTTAAATAGCTGCTGAGGTTAAAGTACTGGACTGAGAGAAATGTGAGGACAGCAAGATGTTATAAGAAGTTTGAGAAACCAGAGTAGAAAATGTGATGGCACTGAAAAACCCCAGGAGTGGCCCGTGTGTGTGTATGTGTGTGTGTGTGGTCCTGGAATTGAGACTGTGTGTGTGTGTGTGTGTGTGTGTGTGTGTGTGTGTGTGTGTGGTCCTGGAATTGAGGTCAGAGAATTGTGGTGAAAGTTTATGCCATGTCCAATTTGACATTGATATTGGCTAGGAAAACGGAGGGAAGAGAGAAAAGGATCAGAGTGTGAAGGTCCTGGACAAGTGTAGCTGAGGACTAAGAGGTGGGAGAACAGGGTGACTGGTAAAAGTGATTAGATGGGTGAAATCCTCTCCAGCAGTGTTTTGTCTATGAATGTGAATTATAGTGTGGGAGCTGAGCTGCGATGTAGGAAGCTGTAATAAAACATATGGGGCAAGTGGTAGAGGGGCGCAGTCTAACTTCCGAGGATAAAGAGCATGCCAGCTTCCTAAGAGTTTCAACTATAACATAAGTCCCAAACCTTCACTCTTACTTCAAACTATTTACCCTCACTGTCTGTCAAAGAACCGTGTGGAAAGAACAAATGAACGACAGGTCCTCAGCCCCATTTTGCACAATGTGAGGGACCCACAGGAGGATTTATTTGATTTATTCTGATTTATTTTCTCATCTGTGACAACTTCACTGATAGCCCCTATCTGAATGCACCTCGATGCTTAGAAATATGTCTCTCAACCACTGGTGCCCTTTACTTCAGGGAGAAAACATGTAATATTGCACTTATGTCTATAGTGTCTAGCATGGTGCTCAGAATATAACAGGTGCTCAATATGTGTTTCTTGAATAAGTAATGGCAAGAATGGAACCATGTTAACAGATGGAAAGGATTATGAAGGTGATGGGCAATACCTGAATGTTTATCTTTGTGAATAGGCATGTTTCTTGCATGAGTTAGTAGAAAAGAATGATATTCTGCAGAACCTAGTCTAATCACCTAGGAGAGTTTGGGGCAAGGAAAATCATTCAAAATGAAATTCAGTAGAAGGGAGTAGCCAAGAAACAGCATTACAGAAGGGTGAGGGAGAGATCACAATAATTTTGCTGATAACATTGTAGGTGGAAGCTATGATAGTCCACATAGTATATTCTGAAATTGGTAGCCATCTAAGCAAGGTTTTCACTAAACATGTGCTTCTGTACTTTTAAGTACTATAGTTCATGAAACCAGCAAAGCAAATCTTGTTTCCTAGTGTTAGAAATTAGCTTCCTATGAAATCAAGTGGCTCTTTAGATGTGGGTTTAAGAAATCTAAAAGGGCTCATAATATGAAGGGAAATAAGAAACAGATGTCTCAAGTATGATCTTGAATAAAACTGTATTTTGATATTATGCTAGGAAAAAGGGAGGTATCATTTCTGATGGTTTTTTTTTTTTTAATAATGAGTCTATACTCTAATCCATAGTATGGGACTTATTTTGAACCCAAGGATCAAGTAAACAAGTTTAACAAGTATGAAGGATGTTTTGAGTTGAAATTTATTAGGTTATATATTTACAGACACCACCAGATGAGGTTTGGAAAGTATAAATCTTGCTCTTTGTTAACTGGAAGCATTCTTCATTAAACAGTCTGTTCTAGTTCTTGTAAATATATCTGCTAGCAGGCATTCCTGAAGAACTAATAGATAATAATCTAATGGCATATTTGACATGTAAGTTTGTAAACTGTTGTGTACTTTATGATGTCACAATATTGGTGTGCTGCATGCACTAGGAGATTAATTTTTTTTATATTTACTGTGGGGAGGCATATGTTTTATGGCTGTGAGAGTCAGATCTTTCCTCCCACCATGTGGGTTCCAGAGATCAAACTCAGGTCTCCAGGCCTGGTCTCAA